AAGCACAAGTGGAGAAGGCCTTTTGCCTGCCCGTTCTGGAAGGGATGTGCATGACAGCAACAATGATTTTAATGTAGGAAATGATTGTGATGGCTAAAGTCCCCAGGACGGTAAAGGTGGCCAAGAGAAAATCCAGCAGTTCAAGGAATTGGGTATTAGTGCAAGCAAGCTTGATCAGTGGCATGTTGTCACAGAAGAAGTGATTGATGATGTTTGGACCACAGAAGGGCAAACGAAACAACAGAATAAGAGGCATAATGAGATAAAGGAAGCTGACAGTCCAAGAACCTGCCACTAATTGTGTGCAGAAGTGGCTATTCATGATGGTTGTGTAACGGAGGGGGTTGCAGATGGCCACATACCGGTCAAAGGACATTGTGGCCAGAATAAAGAATTCAGTGGTGGCCAAAATGAAATAGAAAAAGGACTGTGTGAAACAGCCAGCAAGAGAAATGGTGTTGTTGCCCGAGGCCAAGTTAAACAAAGCTTTAGGGATGGCAAAAGAAGTGAATCCTATTTCCAAGAAAGAGAAGTTCCTGAGGAAAAAGTACATGGGGGTCTGGAGGCGATGGTCGACTAGAGTGATGTAGATGATGAGAAGGTTTCCCAGGATGGTTAAAAGGTAAGTGAGAAGGAGAAGCCAGAAGAGGAGGATCTGCAGCCATCGGATGTGGGTGAAACCCACAAGGATGAACTCAGAGACCACCGTTGTCTTGTTCGGTATTTCTGCCGCTCCATTGTGAGTCATTTCTGGGGCAAAACTTTCAGAAAAATGGAAAAGTTCCAATGCATCCAGCCTTTCTTACAGACTATTGAAAAAAATGATTTGATTGCTTTTGCAGTGGTACTAATCAATAAGAAGAGTTTAAAAAACAGGATGAATGGGAGAACTGTTAAATTGATATTACAGAAAACAATAGTAAAAATGTTTACATGTATCAGTGGAGGAAAGAGTTGTTAGCGAGACAAAGTGAATAATAATGCAGATTGGAGGGGGTAGGACAGAGACCTTTTTCAAGCCCTTTCCTCTCTTGTAAATAGAAAAAAATATATATGCCAATGCCTTTGATGGTTTCCCATATGTTCGTTCTGCAGCAATTCTCATTGTAATTAAGAAGGTTAATTTGTTGATGTGTTTATGGCACCCCTGGTTCTTCAGAGAATTCATTCTCTCTCTGCATGAAAAAGTTCATCTGATTCTTCCAAAACCTGGGGTGTTCTCAAACAAATTAGGTGTCGGCCCTCCAAGGCAGACCAAACGTGGAAACCAAAGACACACAAGCTAATACTCCTTTTATTATAAGGTTATAGTAACAGAATTTTTCAAGTCTAAATGTGCTTCCCCTCTCCCTCCCTTTATAAGAACTTCGGAGCATAGTTTCTGACACACTTCTGCC